TAACTAGCCTCATCAACCTAGCATTTAACATAAAATCTATGACTTCTCTCTTATTATTTAAGATATAATGAGAAATATTTCTGGAGCTTTTTTACATTTCTTTTTTTTTTTTTAGACCATTGAAAATCTGAAAAATAGCTTATATAATATCTTTTGGAAAGAATTATTAGCTGTCTCAAAAGTATTTTTGTTTTTAAAGATTTTACGCCAGAACTTGTCTCCATTATATTATTAATAATTTATTATATACGATCTTATCACGATAAATCAGGTCTACCTTTTGTTTCATATGACATAATGTCAGATACAACTAGTGAGATGCTGTCAGTTTTTAAATTTTAAACTGGGCCTTGAAGCTGCTAGCAAAATTTGGCAACTAGAAGGAAACTAAACTGTACCTGACTATACTGCCCAAAACTGGTTTAAGCATTTTAAAGATAGTGGCTTGTCCTTTGAAATGAAACCCAAAAGGGGACAATAATCAATTATATTGATTATGATGCTTTTAAATGCAAAGTAGAAGACTCAATCATAAGTACTCAAATACTTTTAGAAAAGCTAGGATCATTAAGAGATAAACTTGGAAGATTAAAATACTTCTGATACATTCCAAGTGAAAACCACAGAATAATCTTGCTACAGATATTTAAAAGAAAAAAGGATTCCTTTTGTCTCTTTTTAGAAGTAATCTTTTTATAGGTAATTTCATCATTGAGATGTAATAAACCTAAGACAAATCTTTTACTGAGAAGATAAACTTAATGCCTGTCTTAATTGTTTTATTGTATTTTCAACAAAAAAGGAAAATACATTAATACGGAAATGAAAACATAAATAAAATTATGATTTAAATAACCTCTGTATTTACAACATCAATGTCAAGATAATAAATCTAAAAAACAAAATGTACTACTAATAATCCTACTATATCTGATAGGAATTAGTATTATGGGATTAGGCTATGTACAAGTAGTGGATAAACCCACTAAATACCTCAACTTTGATTATAAGATGCAGGAGCTATTTGAGATGGGTATATGCCATTAAATTACACTGGTAATGACTTTTTTTATTTTATACTTTTTCAGGGTACTTCTAATGAAATCTTTGAAGAAAGACAATGTACAAGAATTCATTTCCTTGGAGATTTGATGGATTTAAATGAATTCAAACCATTTTTTTTCTTTTTTGGGCTTGACCATTGTAGAAAAAAAAACAAAAAAAACTGCATCTATTTCCATGTCAATTCATGTGAAAAAAGCGTTTTTTTTTCTTCTTCCTAATGCAAGTCTTTGTGAAAGCATTTCTTTTGTATTTTTTCTTTTTCTCTTTCAAGTTTATTTTTTTGTAATTTACTCCATCAATTTTTATCTACAAGATAAAACAAAAATTTTGTGTTGGACCAATTTTTTCCTATTTGGAGAAGAACGACCATTTCCTTGCATTAAAAGGAAAACCTTTTGATGTGCTGGAACTGCATGATTGGATATTTGTTACAAAGTATGCAGTGAATAGTGAACCAAGCAAGTGAATGCATTGTTCTGCCAAGCACTTGACATGGTTAGTTGGTCGTCATCATCATCATCATCGCACTGCCCCACTGCAACAAGGGATTTCTTCTATTACTCTCAAACCACTACCACCATTGTCCTCATTGGTACTTGTGATATTTTGAAGATACTTTCTTTCTCAAGAAATGACAAGAGTTTTAAAAGAAAAAAAGGATGAAAGTGGGTGTGGAAGAATAAATTAGTACAAAGAAAAGAAAAGGAAAAAAAATGTAATTTTTATTGTTTTTTTTTGCTGCAGTCACTCTTATTCTTTGATTTAAAAAAGAAAAAAAAACATTAAAATGAAAAGCTGTATGTAGGGTAATTTTTCTGTCTGTTCCTTCATTTCTACCCCCTTCCCTTTCACTATTGGGTCATTTTAGCCATCTAACCAAGTGGACAGGATATAAAGAAAGTGGTACTAGAGGACAATTGTAAACAATAACCTGGTGACCTAGAGAACAGGGTACAAGAAAAGTTCCCAAAGAGGCTATGGGTTAGGAAAGGTAGATGGTAATAAATCTAGAAGTATATTGATACAAACCCCCCCCCAAAAAAAAACAAGAAACTGTAAAACATTTTCAAGTGTAAATATGTTTTGAAGTGGTAAAAGTAAAGCAAAAGGATTTTTTTAATCAAAACAACAAAGATAAGGATACTGGTCCAGGTAATTCATAAAATAGACTAAGAAAATTATTTTCTATCTTACAAATGATTACCAGAAATCCCAACATAAGAGCAGATCAGTAGCCTGATATATAATTATTTGCTGAAATTTGATCTCAAATTTTCACTGTATAATATTTTATGCCACTGATGGAGAAGCTTCCATTTAAATGCATCTACAAACGATGAAATTATGTTGAAAAATATTTGTTGTGCAAAATAAATGTTTTTTCATAATTATTTTACAGACTTATTGATGTACTTAAAAAGCTATGAATTTTTTATGAAGTGATAAATGAAAGTCATCTTTTAGTATAAATAGGTACATCTGTAAGCTAAAGTATTTTTAGTATCACAGTAATTTGTCTTCATGCGAATGACAGAATAGTTGAATACAAAAGAAAGAAAAGCTAAGTTGTGGCAGAACAAATTTGTGAATTAAAATGAAACAAAACAATAATTCTAAAATTATTTTTTTATTGTCTTCCATTGATTTTTCTGTGCAAGTGAAATCCCAATCAATCAGCAAATCAGCAAACAAAACCTGTTAACATTGCTGATACTTGATACAAAAATTTGCATATCACATAATTAAAAGGGGAAGCACATATTGACATCTGATGAAATGCCTTTGTTATCTGAAAGCAAGCAAAGTCATGTTTAGGGCAAGCAGAAAAACAAAAGCTCCAATCTCAGCAAATGGAACCAGTGTAGCAGAACTTGACCAAGAATAAACAAAACCAAGAAAACGTAAAAACAAAATAAAAATAAAAAATAAAATTAGTTTTGTTTTTGTTCTTTTAACTCGTATAATTAAGAAAGTTGTATTCTATCAATTCAGTAACAAGACATGAAATGTTCACCGACTGAATCTTTTCTTCTTTTGCAAAAATCTTTTTGCTGTTTTTTTTCTTCTGTTATAAAGCCAAGAAGAAAATCAAAAGTAAGGGAAACCCAAGTTAATGGCTCATTTAGCAAAAACAGCAGCTGGAATGAAATCTGAGCTGGCAAAAAACTGTCCCTTGTTAAAAAAAAAAAAAAAAGACACAGGATTGGAATGGTTGGGGAAGGAAGGTGAAAATGGAAAGAGAGAGAAAAAAAACTTGTTGGAAAAAATAAAGAAAGTAATGAAAATTAAAAAACAGTCTGATGAAGAAAGATTGGAATATTCAAAGAATGGGAGGAAATAAAATGAAAGGTGTCAAAGAAAAAAAGAAAATGTGAATTGAAAGAAGAGTAACCAAAGAGATAGAAAATAATTCAAAAATCTCACAGTCTTTGAGAACTATTGCTGTATTTAGTGTGACAAGAAAGTTTGGCATGAGATTCTTTGAGAAAGTAGCTACACAGTTTCAAACCAAAATCACAACTATGTGATGGAAGTTGGCAGATAGTGTCCAAAAAATAAAATGGTGTCAGGTATTTTGAAGAATAGTAAAATATAAACTGCCTTCTTTGGGGGGGGGGCACAGGGGGATGTCTTTTTAAGATTGAATGGGTCAGTGCCAAAAAGGCTTCAAGTTGTGTGAAAGCCAAAGATAACTCTGATTACTCTATACACAACTTTCAAAACAAAAGGATGTTTTTTTAAAAAAAAGTTATTTAATTAGAGACAGCTGTTGGCTTTTCACCCACTCACTTTCTGTAGGTTATGGATGGACATTGTTGTACAAATACCATAAATCTATCATATATCATGTGTACACACACACACACACACACACGCCCGCACCACTGGAACAGAAAGAGAACAATACAACATTAAAAAAATTCAAGATCAGTTTGATCAGTGAAGACTTTAAAATTGTATGCTTGGTAAAGAAATTGACAGCAAGATGGATCATAAAAAAACAAAAGTAACTAATCCAAGAGTTTGAATATTGGTAAGAAGAGGAGGCATTATATTGGCATCGGCAACAGAAAAGAATTGAATCTTTTCGTGGTTGATAAGTTATCAGACACAAAGCAAAACAAGGGACCTAAAATGGCCCAGATCGTATTGTGGAAACTGATAAGACTTTGAAAGAAAAGGCTTTTATATTTATAAATATATATATCACTCTTCATAACCAAGTGGTAAAAGCATGCTGGATCAGATGGTGGTTTCTCCTTCAAAGAGGGATAAAGGTTTTTAAACCTGTTGACAGGAACATTTTCTCTTTTAAGTTTTCTTGAATATGCAGACAGGTAGATTAAATAAATACTGTTTAAAATAAGCTGAGCATCTACTCAAATATGGGTATACACATATATATATATATATATATATATATATATATATATATATATATATATATATATATATATATATATATGTGTGTGTGTGTGTATGTATGTGTGATATAATAGACTATATACATAATTACAATGTGTTTTATTTCTTTTATGCCTCTGTGATCTGAATATCTATTATCCTATATTCTTATATTATATCTAGTAATAAAAATTAAAGAATGCAACAATTCTTTTGATAGATACTTTATAATTTGCCATTTAAATAAAAAGAAATCATTTTTAAATACTTGTCTGCTTTTTACCACATCGTAGTCTTTTACAGCAATATTTTTAAATAGGATTTTTTAACATTAAAATTAAGATATCTGTTTCTTAAAAGAAATAACTATTATCATATATGAGTAGCTCTTAATTTTTCATCTAAGCTATTTAAAAAAAATGAAAAAGATAATAAAATAATATTAAAATAAAATATAAAAGAATTATTCATTGTAAAACCCAGTAACCAAAATACTTCATTTTTGTTATGCATGGCTTATGGCTATATAATGTTGAAACACCTGTTCTCCTGCGATTACCAAAGTTAATCAGAATTGAGCCTGGTCAGTATTGAGATGGGTGACTGCTTAGGAATACCAGTTGCTGTAAGCTTGGATGTCTGGGTGGTGTAATGGATAATGGCTCAGAATTGGAAATTGAAGAGCTCAGTTCCAATTCCAGTTGGGTTTGTTATATTCACTTACATGCAAATACCCTTGGGAAATGTATAAACCCACCTCTTCTCCCCACATCTATGGGTTATTTATTAGGACTTTTACTGGAAAATCACTATTATCTCAAAAAAAAAAAATAATAATCTTACATCCTGAAAAAGACTGATAAGCTGTAAAAAGCCAAATGAATGAATCAATTTAACATCTTAAAGTATAATGAATTTACAATCCATTATGACAGATTATAATTTTATATATATATATATATATATATATAAAAGCAAAATCAAATAAAAGCATCTAAGCACTCTAAAGAAGAACAAGGAAAAAAAGAAATGTCAACTGTTGAATCTTCTGAGTTCATTATGTGACAAGTGTCATACCAAGACAGAACTCCCACATCCAAGTGTACAAAACAAACTAGCAAGAAATTTAAACGACTGTCTCCTAGGGTGTTAAGAGCCTTTTGATAGGCAACGGTACTTCAACATTTATGTATAAAAGGTTTACACCAACCACTTTATCTCTGAGAACATCTTGACGTCATTTTGTTTAGTTAGTCCCAAAAAGAAGAGTGACAAAGGGAAATAATGAAGAAGTACTGAAATTTCCAGTTTAACAAGAGGATGTTTTTTTCTTTAATCATTTTACCCCAAGAAAGGTAATAAAGCCACTAAGATACAAAGGGTTACTAGAAGTGGAAGGGAATAAAAAGACTTTAGTCAGGAGAAAGGACAAAAAAAGCACAGGGTTCAGGATGACAGATCATGATTGACATTGCATTTAAATTGTTGAAGATTGTAGGCGGCAGGGAAACAAAAAACCAGAAAGGAATTCCACAGGTGAGAAGTAGAGATGATAAACTATTACAGTAGAACGTATAGTTACATCAAGCTATTTCAACAGTAGAACAATGAGACCTAGGTGCCAATCTAGTAGTAAATTCATGCATTCGAGGTACCAAAGAGGAAAGCACGTTAGAACAAATGCCATGAAAATATTTATAGAAAAGACATGACATGGCAGTTGGAAAGTGACTGAAGTTGAGATATCAATGAAGTCTTTTAGATTTTAAAATTATAAACTGTTTATATAAAAATATATTAAAACAGGACCTGTTCTTTGAAAATTTTTTTCACTTAAAATCTTATTATTTCAACTTCTTCTGTGTACCATGTCCCTTCAAGACGTGGATAACCATGGCCCTCCACAAAGTCCAGTCCATTGTAGTTCTTCTTAGTTTAACTTTTTGCCATCTCTCTTAATTCCTGTTCTGCTTACCATTTACACAAACTTCTTTGGTATGTTATACACTGCTTCCCTCTGCACCTCCTTATACTCTTGACAATATTATTGCAACTTAATGCAAAGATAAACAGATGATCCATTGGATTTTTTTCTATTTATCACACAATGAGTAATGCAGTAAAAATCTATGCTTAAAGTCTACATTTTAATGTTTTTAATTTTTTAAGTTTAACAATGAAAAATGTTTTTTCATGGAATACATTTCATCTTTTTGATCGAATGTTAAATAAAAAATTTTAAATTCCTATGAATGTTTATAAACAAAATTCTTTGGTTTCACTATCTCCCTCATTATTTTTTTTAGTAATACATAATATTTAGATGCAAAAATATGCAATATGCAAAACTAATCAGTCATTGTACTACCACATCTGGCAGTATAAGGATATGAACAAGTAATATTTTTTTAACTTCATTTTGAGAGGTTAAATATCAATGTAAAAATATTTATCATTCACTTCACTACAATTAGTTATTCTTTTTATCATATATTTTATATGATATTTTATGATTATTTACATTCTGATCCATTCAGAAACTCCACTTTGCAAGAAACATTAATTTTTTTAAAATATATTGTTGCATTATGTCTGTATATTTCTAGAAATAATAATATTGAATTTTTTCCTAATTACTTTATCGTTTACATACTTTGAAACAAAAGAAACAAAAACATTAAGACTTGATAATTTTTCTCTGTGCTTCCTTCTTCAATAAATTAATTTATGTTCGTCAATGATTTGGTTGTTTATAAGAAATAATAGCTTCCACAATTTAACATCATTGTCAAATAGCCAGAAGAATAAGGATCTGGTAAGAGATAGGAAAAACAAAAGTTTTCAAATTTCTTAGTAAAAAATTAACAACAGCAAAACAAACTTAGTATACTACAAAGTCACACCTAAATGTTGATAGCAGATGACTGATTGTTAAGGACTATTTACTATTTAAAGTAAAGAAAATTAAAACAAAAATTCTTCTATGTACTTTTGTTTTTTGCTTAGATTAGTGCAGTTCTTGCTGAAAACTGAAAATTACTGCTTATTTAATCAGTTACTACAAAAATGCCTAACTTTCACTCTGCAAAAAAGGCCATTAGATATGTTAAGTGAGAAACCAAATTGTGTATTTAGAATTGTTTGAAGGAAAAGCTTTTTTAACATGCAAGCTGCTTTATTTTGTGACTGTGTGTGTGTATATGCAAGCACTAAGTGTAAGAATTCTAAAACTTTAATTTTTAAGAGAAATAAGTTTAAAATAATGTAATCATTTCATTAAGACATATTAAAAAAAAAATAAAAGATATAGAATCAGTTCCACTTAATCTAAAATGTAAACATTTTTTAATGAAAATTATTTAGAAAGAAGTAAAAATATATTACAATGTAAATAAATAAAAATGGTGCTTGCCATTCAATAATGCATATAAATATTCATGATTCCTCAGATTATATTTAAATAATCTAAAAATGAATGATATGCTTGACGAGTAGAATTATTTTGGGTCTGTTTAAAGAATTTGTATGTTTGTTTGTTTTTTTTTGTACATAAAATACTTCTGCTTTGTAGGGGGTAAGTCATATACAGGGTGAGTGGGCCAACAATGTTAGAGAAAGAGTTGAAGAACATAAGCTATTTGGCTTTAGTATATGCCCTGAAGAACTGCAATGTGACATACAGTGGAATGTTGCAAAAGATTCCAACACCTTATCACACCGGTAAAGTTTCTGTATTTGCCAGTGTTGGTAACAAGTTTATGAACAACAAACCAGGGGTGGTTTTGTGCATGTAAGAGTACACATGTTTTCAGGCATATGATAAATGCGATGTGTATCTGTGTTATGTGTTATTGCTTTACAGTGTTGTGTGTATGTGCTTACATAGGTATTCAAAGGTGTATATATATATATATATATATATCCAAAGCAGTTTGATATAAATACATCTGACAAGGTCTGTCTGTTTAAATTTTATTGTATTTTTTCAATTTTCAGATAAGGTGTTGAGTATTGTGCCCAAAGTTATGGATAAACTGTGCAAAGTTCGGATTTTGTTATTTTTGTTCAAGTGCTTTTGACTTTTGCAGCCATTATCTTAATTAATTAAATAAAATAAATAGATCACATTCTTTTAGTGCAGCCTTGTCCCAATAGCCGTTACACATGACGTCATGATAAACCACTTCAAACATCCAGCTTTTCAAAGAATATCAGGATGCCGAGAAAGAAATTACAACTATCACACAGACGACATTACATCAGTTCTTGACTACAAAAGTTGAAAGTACTTGAACCCCCAATATACAACACCTTATTTGAAAATTGGAAAAATATAATAAAAATTTAAGCAGACCGCCCTGGTTGGTTGTATTTAATCAAACTTGTTTAGAGATAAACATGTTGTATATTTAGGCACCAATCTTTCTTTTATACATGTTTCCTTAAATGTAATGATTAAGAAAAGTTTTATAAGTTTTTTTTTATTTAGTTTCTCTAGTGTTCTGGAGGCAGGGAGGAGTAATGGATAGCAGCTCAGATTGAGGAATTGGAGAGCCAAGTTCGTATCCCAGTCGAATCCATTACATTCACTTATGTGCTAATAACCTTGGGAAAGGTATGAATCCTCTTCTTTTCCCCCAACCGAGGTATGGGTAAATAGCAGGACAGACCAGGTTCTATAGTCATAGACAACTGGGCTACGACAGAAAGAAATGGCAACATACTGTGGGAAAAAATCTGCCTCGTCAGTAATGTATCTTTCGATACATGATCACCTAAGCATGCATCATGCATGGCACATAACTGAGTGTTATTATTATTTTTCTTTTACGAGTGCTAAGATAGTGTAGAAATTGTAGTTATCATTGTTTCAAATGCTTATCCCAAGTTTATACATTCTCTTAGAAGATAAACAATAAGGACACACAAGAGAAACTGAATAAAAATTACAAAATTTTCTTGTCTGTCATTCAATCACATTATATATATATATATATATATATATATATATATATATATATGTGTGTGTGTGTGTGTGTGTGTGTGTGTGTGTGTGTTCATGTGTTTGGAAGTTGACAATATTAGTTTATATGCATGTGTTCTTCAATAGATAGCTATGGATAAGATAGTATTATGCTTGTGTTCCCGTTATCATAGATTGTCTTTAAATACTGACTATGTTTGCAGGTACTTTAACTATAGAAATATAAAACTGTTGAGTGTTTTGTAGAGATGATGTTCCTGTGTCCTACGTCCTCCTTTTTCAGCTGAAGAAAGATAAGATCATCAGAACTGGGCAGCTTCTGTCACCCATCGCCCACCTTCCTTCCAACCCTACCAAACTTCCCAGGCACCAGGCACCAAAAGAACTAATATTTCTTACAACTTCTACACAGTGGAACTGGAGAGCTGATGTTGGTATGTTGAGATGAAGATAGAGAAAGAAAAGAAGTGGGTTGGGAGGTATCAGGTAGAAGAAGAAGTAGGGGGGAACCCTGAGAAAATAACTCAGAGGGGTCATCCTGGTGCAGCAAGTAAGTAAGGAGGAGCTTCATACATGGGGTAAAGAAGAAAAGGGGTGGTGAGAGGTGAGTTAGTTTTTAGTTGGGGAGCAGCAGAGTTGTTGGGAT